GGAACGGAGGGTATGTTATGAACCTTTTTTTCTTCTTACTACATCGGGATGAAACAAACCAAAATAATAAATAAAATAATAAATTAAATAGTAAATAAACTGGGAGCTCGTCTCGTGGTCTCTCTGTCAAGCTAACAATACTTTTCTTTATAGCGACGTCAAATTGAATTCTTGAGCTCCCTGGCCAAAGTTTTCGAGAAACAACTACTGAATGGGACTGAACGGTTTAACAATCAGCATGAGGCTGCCGTTCAAATCGAAGTCCAACAGAAGGAGCTCCAGGATGAAAAGGAACGGAAGAAGGACATGCAAAGAAAACGGCGTCGTGAGAACACCGTCCGTCTTGAGACCCAGAAAATGGATGAGGCTCGCCAGAAAGCCATTAAAGCAGAAGATGCCGTGGAGAAAGAACGCCTGATGCGCGAGGTTGAAAAGTCTCGCAAGAAGATCAAGAGTACGAAACGTGCCTTGGAGCGAGGAAATGAGCCTGAGGAAATCAGTGAAGTAACCCCGATGGCTCCGAACCTCGAAGGCGGCACTACCAGCACTTTCCATGTCGCTTCGAAATCTCCCCCGCCAAAGAGAAAGTCTGGCAAGTCTGGCTCCGCCTTGCGACCGAAGAAATCCAAGGAGAAGAAACAAGTCGAAAAAGATGCTGCGGAAGCTGCCTATGCTGCCATGGAGAAGGATGACGAGCTTGTTCCTCTTGCTCCCGAGGAGGATTCGAAGAAGGAAGCGTTGAAGAAAGAGGCCAAAGGTGCCCTCTCCAAGGAAACGACCCCCTCTCCTACCACTACGCCATTCGAATCCAAGGCCTACAACATGCTATACGAGGCTATCTGGAGAGAGATTGCTCGAAAAGATGTACCCAAAGTCTATCGTATCAAGGCAGCTTCATTGAGCACTCGCCAGGAGAACCTCCGTAAGACCGCCCAGCTGGCCAGCAAACAGGCTCGTAAATGGCAAGAACGTACCAACAAGAGTATGAAGGATACTCAAGCTCGAGCGAAGAGAACTATGCGCGAGATGATGTCATTCTGGAAACGGAATGAGCGTGAGGAACGCGATCTGCGTCGTATGGCTGAGAGACAGGAGCTGGAACTGGCCAAGAAGGCAGAAGCTGATCGCGAGGCTAACCGCCAGAAACGAAAACTGAACTTCTTGATTTCCCAGACAGAGCTGTATTCCCATTTCATAGGCCGAAAGATAAAAACAAGTCAAGCTGAACAGACAGATGACACCGCTGGCGTCGATACTGCTGTGGATATGGCCAGCCCGAAACTTGATATACCCCCTCCTGGGAACGACATGAAAGTGGCGCCAAAGGTCACAAGTTTCGAGGACCTCGACTTCGATGCAGAAGATGAAACGGCATTACGGCAAGCGGCAATGGCTAATGCCCAAAATGCCGTACAACAAGCTCAAGACCGGGCCCGGGCATTCAACAACGACGATAACAAAATGGCTGCCTTCGATGAAGGGGAGATGAATTTCCAGAATCCTACAAGTCTTGGTGATGTTGAAGTTTCCCAGCCGAAGATGCTTACTGCCCAATTGAAGGAATATCAGTTGAAGGGTTTGAACTGGCTTGTCAATCTCTACGAGCAAGGCATCAACGGTATTCTTGCAGATGAGATGGGTCTAGGTAAAACTGTGCAATCCATCTCCGTCATGGCTTATCTCGCCGAAGTGCATAATATCTGGGGCCCGTTCCTCGTTATTGCGCCCGCCTCGACCCTTCACAACTGGCAACAAGAAATTTCGCGATTCGTTCCCAACATCAAAGTCCTACCGTATTGGGGCTCAGCCAAGGATCGAAAAGTTCTACGAAAATTTTGGGGATCGCAG